AGCGCGGTTTACAAATCTTTCTTGATTTATGGACCCCTTTTGGAAATGAGTCCTGGGCGCGTGGTTGTGTAGTTATACTCCCTCCGTCCATGTATGATCTTCCCATTACGCGTTACGAGGCTTGACCGACTTTATTTTCAATTCAATTTAATTGATTATAGGAGTAAAATTTTAAAATAAAATTTATATAGTAATAAACTACATGAAAAGTTCTACAAAACTAGAGGTGACAAGACTATATTATTTTATGAAATGACTAGTAAAATTGAGCAAACAAAGTGAGTAAAGTTTGACCCTGTGAATGGTATCTGGGAAGATCTATGGTGGACAGAGGGAGTATATAAATAAAGTTATACGGAGTATATAAATAAACTATGAGATATTTTAAAATTGCATTTCTAAATGAATGTATTAATATGAAATTTATGCCGTAACAAATATATTTGTTTCATGTTTTGTGGTCAAATTAAACAAGGAAAAATATTACGGGAGGATTTAATTATATATCCTGTTCGAACTAAAACGGTTGTAAACTAAAACTATTAGAATCTGATTACCACCCGTACAAGGAATCTTTAATTAATTAATCACTCATCGTTTAGTATAATATTAGTAGGAGTCTTTTTGCATGCATAAATTATCTCATATTTACTCATCACCATTACGTACATAACAAACTCTCCCGAATTAATCGCAGATGTCGTCGCCGGCGGCGGCAACACCCGCGGACGACGAAGGAGGTCACGGCGGCAGAGCACACTCGGCAATGAAGGCGGCGGTGTTCGCCATCATGGCGGGGGGAATCCTGTGGACGGTTGTAGCGGGGTACGCACGGCGGACGCCGGCGGGAGTGGCGGCGCCGGAGGGAGAAGAGGATACGATCGTGAGGTGGGGACGCCGCGTTTTCACGGCGGCGTTGCTGGTGCCGTGCGCGGCGCTGTTGCTGGTGATGTCCCTCCTGAACTGCGTCAACGCCGCCGTCCCTCCTCCGGTCCGTGTCCGGTTGGAGAAAGTACTGTTCAGTGACGTCAGCAACAAACCACGAGAACAAGAATCGTTGTCGTCCCCATTATTAACCGTATAATTAATTAAGCTTTCTGCATGTAATTTTGATAGGTACATTATTAAAATCGATATAAATGTATATAGTGATTTACACTTTCATATAGTCAAATTAACTTTTCTTGCCAATTTTTTTGATCAAATTGTGACAATATTTGACCACGAATTAAATAATTTAAAATTATTAAATATTATAAAAATTTAATATTTCTAAACTATATTTTAAAATAACCCTATTTTTATTCAATTTTACTCAAATTAACTTTTTCGTTCACGATTTGAAATCAATATATTCATTTTGAAACATTATTTTAATATTTTTTAAATATAAGTAAAGATATTAAATTATTAATGATCAAAATGTTACATTAAAAACTGTAAATGAGAAATTAATTTTAATACAGAATAAATCAACACCCATGGTACAAGTACGAAAACATATGTAGAGTGTGTTAGTACGTTCTAAAAAATGAACGTGACACTTGCACTTTCATGTTAACATAAATCAATGACCAAAATACATAGTATACAGTACAACGCCACCAGCTCACCATTCTAGGTGACAACATTATTTTTCACTGGGAAATTACGACTTTAACCCCTAGGACGACACCAAGGTTACACCACAGGAGACAATCACGCACAAGAAATCACAGGCAGTGTCAACCTTAGTGTGATTGTAAGATGACCCATTCACATGACGGTCCATTAACATCTTTGTATACACCAAAGAGAACTAAACCTATAAAAGACCAGTGTGTGGGGGATTTGTTGTGTATATTATCTACTTGCTAAACCTCCCTTCTCTCCTGCTGCGCGATTGAAGCTCCGGCGAGCGCTTTCCCGTGGGCCCATCGCCTTCGTGTCTGGAGACTATTTTAAGGGGGTGGGCTTCTGTGTTGAAAACCCATTGGTCCAGTGGAATCACAGAGGGCGGCGAGAAGAGAAGGTAGAGATATTTGAGTGTCTCTGCCAGGAAGAAGCTCTGCATCATGTTGTCCTTGACACCGGTGTTAACCTGTGAAAAAGGGACATTGTTTGACAACGTTTAGTAGGCGAATGGACAAGTTTCCATTTTTGACCCCCCTTAGCAAAGGGCAAACATAGTTTAAAAGAACAGAAAAGAAAAGTGTGAAGGTTATTTTGGGAAAGTGGGGAGTAAATCTTACATCTTTTAGTCCGACATATCCAGACTCAATGCGAGAGTTCTTTTCAAATGCTTGAAATATGTTCCAACCCCATTCTTGGTACGTCTTGTTGCCGGTTAAACGCCAGAGATAAAAGAGTGACTCCACAGTTTCAGGCCTCAGTATGTTCCACGACGTCCCCACACTCATATCCTTGTGATAACAATAATTAATGAAAAAAATAATCAAATCCTCTGAAACTGCTTATACTTTAAAGATAAGAACTAAGTCATAGGTGTTTGCCATTAATCTGACCTGCCCTTCATGAAAAAAGTAGTTCTCTCCGGCCAATTTTGTGGGTGTTGACTGGTAGAAGTTATAGCAAGTCCAAGCAAGCTGCAAAATAATGCAAATGGTTAAAATAGTCATGCAGCTTTATGAAAGTCATGTGAAAAGACGGTTCAGGCCCTGTGAAGTCTATAGTTTTTAATGTGTCCTTTTAATTTCGTACATTATGTGTCCGAAGCTAAAACATTTTCAATTGTCACTCATATACCAATCAACAGTATATAATAATATATGTACCTCTTCTGCCAAAGACATGAACTTCTGTGATTCTGTGGGACCATAACCAGAAGCCCCTAAGGCTAGCATGCCTGGAGCAAAGCATGCAAGTTCATCCATCTGCATGATAATTTGAGAAGCAGAAAAAAAAAGCAAATTAAGTTTGAGCAGGAGTAAAGATAGGAAAGAAAAAGAAGTAAGACGAGTGGCAAGATCAATAAATCACCTTGTCGGAGAAAGAGCTTCCCATCTTCTCACACAGATATGTAAAAGATGAAGGAGTAGTCTTTCGAACCAAGCTCAGAAGACCATTCATTGAAGTCTCCCACATTTTCCTGTTTCCAAGATTCAATTGACAGACTAATGAACTTGATGCAGATTGTTATTTCGCATGACCAAAAACCATTTACTAGTCACTATAAATTAAGTTTCGGTTTTGCACAAAAGTAGATTAATGAATCACATCCGGTAATCACGGAATGGCCTTAGTTTAGGTCCAGTTTTATCATAAGATACTATTTTGACACTCAGGTAAAGCAAGAAAAGATTGAAAGTGTTTAGAAAGATCTTCACTTTCATAATATGCCCTTGAGTTTTTTTATGTAGAATATCATTTAGGCTTTTCAAGAGGGGCAATTGAAAAAAAATAAATAAAATGTGCATCGAAAATACAAAAGTGACTTATATTTTAGGACATCGCTAACATGCCTTATAAATAGGAGCGGAGGAAGGGTCAAATACGGAGTACTATTTTTGCTTTCATATTGTTAATTTCTCCCTACTCCATTGAACCAGAAAAAAATATTTCCTTAACTACCTCCATTGTCCTTCCCTCATTTCTCTCCCCCTCCCCTCTTTTGAACAAAACAAGCGTTTAAGGATTGGAGGTGACCTTATGGGTATGGAGAAGAAAACAAAAGCAATCATGATATGAGTGTCCCAAATTAAATCCCTCAAGGAAAGGCATATAGTAAGAGAAATTGTGCACCTGTAATGCCTTACGGATTCCGTTTTGTTTCCTTGAACCCAAACCTTGAGTAAGTATTCATAAAAGCTGAAATAAAATGTCCATTAGATATCAAGTAAAAAAGAAACAAATGATATGCCATTTTTGTGAAGCTTCAATTAAATTACTGATAATACAGATTATATCAACATAGAACATGATAACCAATTAAGGAGTTTTACAAATAAAATATGGAGTCTGCAATATCTGTTTGCTTATCAAGAATAATTAACTATAACCATAGAAAAGATTCAAAGGATTGGAATCAGATTACATCAAAGCCTAATAGAAGTAAACTCGTGTTCACATAACACACACTAAACATTTTTTTAAGAGATAATACCTGTCCCCCATTGCCCCAAAAGTAATGGTTGAGTATGATTTGGACCCTGTACGTGGATTAATGTAGATTGGAAGCAAACCATCATCAGGAAAGGTTTTATTAAGCTCTAAAATAACATTTTCCACCTGAAATGCCAAGAGAGCCATTAGTCATCTCCAAAAGATTTATACTAGCAGACTAGCAGTGATCATAGCAGTTGTAGTAGCTTCATATCTGGATTTATGATTATCTAAGTTACTTTGCATTACTCTTTGGTGAGACAATATGGAAACAATAAGCCCTTATTTGGTTGGAGGGCTTAAGAGAGAAGTGAAGGAAAGTGGAAGACATATACACTTCTCCAAACTTTTCAGATGACAGTTCCCCCATTTGATGTATTTCAAAAATTGTTCTAGATAATTTGATAATTGTTATACACATTAATTACTTCATCTTTACATTTAATTTTAATAAAAAATATACCACACCAAATCTTTAATTTTAACAGAAAACATACCACACAAAATGGAGTTTTAATTTTCTATTTTTTCAAAAATTATAACTACTCCTTGAATCAAATGTGACATCTTTTAAAATTCTTCCATTTTCATCTGCCCCATTAATGATCTCCTCCCCTCCCCTCTCTAGAACCGAAGGCTGGCCGTTCAGCCGGGCATACCTTCTGTTGATACTTGGGGTCTCCTGTTCTTTGAGAAAGAGCAATAAATTCAACCTGCTCAGTGCCAGAATCTGCCAGAATACTATCACCCTGAAGGCAGAGAGAGAGCGTTACAAAGTCAATATAACTCATTGAAATATTACTACAAAAGGTGCCGAAAGAATAATAACAAATATAAATGTGAATATTGGACCACTTACTCCTGCCCATCCAGGATTGTGTGGATTCCCGTGTGCCAAGTTGATTATGTTATAAGGGATTCCAGTGGGAGTGTTCCATGCAGGCAACAGTCTGTCAGCAATATCTCTAGCCTTTTCAAGGAAAAGTTTATCCCCTGATAGGTCATATGCACTAAGAAGTCCACCTACGACTCTGGATTTTTGTAACATGCCAAATCAATAACCATAACATTGGTCATATTTAAACACACAGAAAAGACCAGAAATGACATAACGCTCTGGGCGATAAGGAATGGAAAACAACTCTTATTCAGACATAGTAAACCTTATAAAGCAACCTTATGGTTGTCTCAAAAACACTTGCGTCATAGTTCTTGTTAAAATCCAAGGAGCTTGCCACCCACCTATCATGAACACATGGAATATCATGAAAAGACAAGATGATGGACATCAAAAATCAAGGTATTGTTTATTTAAGAATATCTCATCCAGGATATGATTCCCATTGCAAACTGAAAAGTAATGGTGCAAATATCTCATCAAGAAAAAGGGTAACAATCAATTCGCATAGATGGGAGGTGAGAAACATAAAAGGGGAAAAAAGAGCAAAACTCACCCTCTAGCCTTTTGAAATTCCTCATCCAGACCCATGATATAAAGTGTATCAAGAGAATCTATTAGAGTTGCACCAAGGCCACCAAAGCTGTTAACACCATTCTTTGATTGAGGCTGGGATACACAAAATAAATAGTAAACAATAAATTCATTAAAAGCTTGTGAAATAAATATTTCAGCAATTGTAGCAACAGACAGAAAATGGTCATTTTGTTCCTGCTGGAACCCTCAAAAGAAGAGGATCCACAAAAGCTCAGATAGAACCAACAGAAGCTTCTCAGAAACTACACGATGTGTGTGAATACACATACAACAACAACAACCCAGTTAAATCCCACAAGATTAGGGTCTGGAGAGGGTGTGTGTACGCAGACCGTGCCCCTACTCAAAAGTAGAGAGGCTGTTTCCAAAGAGACCCCCGGCTCAACGTCGGAAGTTGCATTGCTTGACTAACTGCTACTTCATTAATTAAAGAAGCGCAGACAGTTTAGAGATCCATTAATATGTGTGAATACACATATTGCACATTTTTTATGACTAAATGCCACTCAACAGATACCACACCTGAAGCTCATCATGACCCCATGCATATTTTACATATGAACCCCATGCATGTCGCATTGCATCTTTTACTTTCTCTCTTCTCTGAGAGTCAAGTGGGTCATCTAAGACTTCTTTTTCCTTGGCAGCTTTATTAAATTTTTCATCTGGAACTACTCGCCCACTTTTTAGCTCTTCGACCTGGATGGATGGCGATGTCAGGACGTATTTTGCAAATACTGATGAAATAAAAGGGGATGGGAGTTTGAAGTTCGAACGTGCCCCCAAAATTTATAATTTCAAAACTGCACACTTAAC